GAGATAGAGATAGAGAGAGAGACTTTGGAACTTGGCTCCCTCGTTTAACGATCGCTTTAACGAGCTTTTGAATTTCGCTGCGGTGTATCGAGAAGAGGATAGGAATTGTCAACTACGATTCACATTTGTCGTTTCACATTTCTTCCGTTGTACCTCTCTGAAACGGAACACGATCGAGGATAACGATCTTTGAAAATCTCTGAGAAAAAGAAATAGAAAGAGTGTTTCAAATCTTCTTCTTTCGAAAAGCTCGTTGGTAGGAGGGGGGAGGATAAGAAACACGAGAAACATCGTGACAAATTTCGAAACGTTAGAAAAATTTAAGAATATTCTCTCTTTCTCTCTCTCTCTCTCAGAGAGGAACAGTTCAGCCAACAGGAAAACGAGGACAAATGGAAATCGTGTAAATCTTATTTACATATTTATACGAAGCTTTTATACAGTGGCAAAGAAAATGGCTCTTGAATTTTGTTTCTCTCGATGTCGTTTCTTAAATGCATTTTATAGTGAGATACATGGTAACCACTTTGGCGTGGAATACATATATATATATATATGTGTGTGTGTATTTGGAAGAGGCGAGCGAAAAACAAAGAGCGCGGACGACACGTATTACGTGAGGTGGACAGAAGAAAGTGGAAATTCCAGGACAAAAAGACAGGGATAAGGACAAAGGATGCAGCCACGTTAAATAATTTGTCCACCTCTCCCCCTCCTTCTCCTCCTCCCTCGCGTGAAATTGTACGTGTTTTTTGTCGGCCCAGTCTTGACTCTTGGAAAATTATTAATTCTACCGGAAACTGGAATGTCGCGTCCCCTCGGTCTTGATAAATAATTCCATCGGCGCGACATCGAGGGTGGATGGACGGGCATCCAGACGGCAAAAGGCGTCCCGACGCTGGAAGGCTTAACGGTTATACGATTCGAGAGGATGAACTCTAGGAAAGCATAATTTGCGCAACGGTCCTTTCCATTTCAGAATTCCACCTCTCTCTCTCTCTCTCTCTCTTTCGAATTCTCTGAACTCCCTCTAGACAAGTTTCTTTAATTAAGAGGCTCGCTTGAATTAATCCTGAATAATAGTAAAAAAAAAAACTAGTACAAGGATTTACGAAACAACGCGAGCGAATGGATAATCGCTTTATCTCGGATTATTTATTATACAAAGTCTCTTTGGAGCAGAGTATTTCCATCCGTATTTCGAGCTCGAATATTTCCCGCGGAACGATACGTCCAAAACGTCGTGAACTTGAAATCCGCGGTAAGATAACTTTTCCCTCCCGTTCGAGGAACAGAAATTCTCTCCTCGAGCGTGTATCGTGAATTCGAAACGAGCGCTCGATTATATCGGTATTTCAGAATATCTCGGATCCGACGAAACTCGGTTGGTAAAGAAGGGAAGGAGTGGAACCCTCTTGTCGCGAGGGTTACGGGCGAAAGGAAAAAGAAAAAAAAAAAAAACCAACGGAATTCGGATTCGAGGAATACGTGAGGTGCATGCATGCATGCATGCATGCATGCGCATCCTCGACGTGACGTAACATTTCGAGAAACGAACACGTGTTCCGAGACACAATTTCCCTAAAATTTTTAACGATAATCGTATATAACGCACGCGAGGCTCGAGTCACGAAGAGGAGTGGCTGTGCACACACGTGCACCTGCTTACGTACACACGTCTCCGTGGAAAAAATATAATTCGTCGCCAGAAACGTTCGATACATAGATATTCCGCGTGCCAAATGCAAAAAATATTCTTAGCCTGGCGGACCAATCCTCTCGTCGCCCGTCCCCTTCTTTCTCCCGCGACTAACCCGATTGGCCCACTCCTCGTTTGTTGCTCACGTGCCGTCGCCCAACGTGAACAGAAAACGGGTAAGTGTTTGTCGGTTGGGTGATACATAATAAGTTGAGAAAGAGATTGGGTGGGAGGGAAGGTTGAAGCGCAGGCGATTTTAATTGGGTAGAACGAGGAAGCAAATTTGGCGGAGAAAGTAAAGATAATCGGATTAACGAGATATGGATTAATTTCTCCTCCTCCCCCTCCTCCGAATCTGCAAGGTCTCTCGTGTAATTTCCTCGTTTTTGGCCGAATTCATGGTCGATGAATCGGGTCTCGGCTAGGGAGATACTCGTTCCAAAACGTTGCAAGGGTGAGCGTGGCCAATGGGATTAGCTAACTAGCGGCCCAGAGATAGACCAGTTCTATGGAGAGAGAGAGAGAGAGAGAGAGAGAGTTTAGGAAAAGATTAGAACACGAGTAGAGAGTAATATTCTCCAATAATGTATCGATTCAACGATATTTCGAGGGAAAATTATTCTTGTACGTAGCAGGAAAGAGAGAGAGAGAGAGAAAGAGAGAGAGAGAGAGAGAACAGAGACAGAACAGAGACAGAGACAGAGATAAATCTCGGAGCGATCGAAATAAAAATTTCGTTGAACTGCTGTTCGTTTGGTAGAAATATGGTGGAAACATTCGTTGGGGATGAAAAAAAAAAAATTTGTCTTTATTACCATAACTGGTATCGAATCGGTCCAGTGTTGTACGTATACAACACATGTATACGTATCGTGTTCAGGTTCCCGTCAATTCGGACTCTCGCTATATTTAATCGATACGCGAAAACGTAGGGGGAGGAGAGGAAAAAAAAAAAAAAGGAAGATGGCAAGCAATCGTTCGTAACGCGAGCGATAAAAATACCGTTCCGAAAATATGGGTAACGGTATAACCAATGTTCGTAATTCCTGAAATATCGGGAGCATTTTACGCGACGTTCTCGATAATACTTTTCCCGAATGATACTATTTTTATCGTTATTATATAGTAATTCACAAATATACCGGTGCAATTTTTCGGTGATAAAGATTCCCGACGATGGATCAACCCGTTTCCGGGATAAATCGGCTGGAAGCCAACAACCGACGAATTCAAATCGTCAAATCCAAGACGGGTTGTCAAATCCAACATTGGTTGTAACATTTTTCCAACCACCGTTTTTCCAAGTAAAGACGAGAAATGAAAATAATAAAAAAAAAGGGGGGGGATCACGACTTGGCGATAACAACGAAAAGAGAAAGAGAAAAAGAAAGTTCGAGCATGAAAAAATCGTCGCACATCGTGTAAAAGATCAAGGAAATTCGGTTCGAATTTGGATTTGCAACGAGTCCACGTCCATTGCGAGAAGGAAGAAAGTGTATGCTTAGTGGGAACCGATAGCGGATAGGGGAGCATGGCACAAATGATGCATCGCGGATGAGGAAGAAGATAGCTATACGTGCCCGGTTATATCTATATATATATACTTCTCTGTAGCCGGTATATTGTCGATGCATTGTACGCAACCTCAGTCGGTACGTACGAGCGGATATTCGTTCGCACGGAGATGGACAAACACGCACGGGTGAACAAATGCCGGTTGGATGGCTGGCATGGAACGACAGCTCGATGATACGTAACGCGGTTACGTATCGTTTCGACACGTTCCAAGAGAAACGAGAAGCGTCGAGACGCAAGAACTCGATAATTTCGTTTTTTCCTCTCTCGAGCCAATAAACTTCCTTCCATTTTCCACGGATCATTTTCGCTTCCAATCTGAGTTGCTCGGCCGGTAAAATCGTTTCTTTTTTTACGAGTTCCCAGTTAAAAATTTTCGAGTCGCTTTCGAAATTCGCCCAACTTTTTCAGGTTATTCGCGATTTGAGGGGAGTGAGTGGCAGATATATATATATATATATAAATCGAAATCAGGCAGGTAGCCTATAGGGTATTTAGTCGTGGGATTAGCAAGTCGTGACTTCTTATCTCTCGAAGGCCACGCGTTTAAACGTAACTCCGCCGCGATATAAAAGTTTACGATCGAAATTCGCCGGAGGGGATTCGATACACGTATAAAAGCGAGAGAGAAAGAGAGATCGCCGCTTCCATCCTTTACGACCTTTCCTTCCGACGAGACAAGATTCGTCCTCGTGACTCATGTCTTCCGCCACGAGTCGGTTAGAATTTCCGTAAAAGTTTTCCAGAGGTTGGTTGGTTGGCCGAGCTTCGCATACGTTATCCCCTGCTCCATTCACCTTTCACCTTTCGTGCAAAGGATTCGGGAAAGGATTCGCGACGCGCTCTTACTCCTTTGGAAAACACACGCGTAAATCGTACCATCCTCCGGCAAACCTTTACCTTGGCAAACAACGTGGAGAAAGCTTTTTGGGATGGGGCTGCACGCGCGTTTTCGATCTCGTACGATCTTCAAAGAAAGCCGGGTAAGAATCGATTACTGTAAAATTTGTCGGGGAGAAGGAGGAAGAGAGACGAAATTCAGAGACGAAAAATTGAGCGTTCACCTCGAAACGATAAAAATGATGTTTTTCTTAGGGACGATTTGGGGCGAGAAGGAAGAATGACCGGTTCGATGAGAATTCTAAAACAGAATGGAACGAAAAGAAGGGAAGGAGAGAGGGAGGAAACGCGTTATAAAAGATCGGCGAATGGGGGGTATTAACGCGCTCCTCAGGCCATCCATAGCGTAATCTCGGTCTACGATTACGACCTACATCTTGTACGCCTTAAGAAATCGTTTCTTCCCCTTCGTTGCGCGCCTCCTCCCCCCGAATTATCCGTGCAACTTCGATTCTATCCGAGTTTCGATC